ACGTCTTCAATTTGCTATACTATCATCATCATTATCTATTTCCCTCTCTCTATCTCTCTCTCTCTCAGGCAAGAGAGATGTAATTTTTCGATAATGCTAGCATAACCGATACAGCACCAAGTGCACGATATCACCACCTATCTAACGTCTACGTCCCGCATACCGATACAGCAAATTCAGGCTCCAAAACTGCTGGCATCTTCATATCTCTCTACTCGAAGGGGATGTTAAGTTACATTTCTAAACAGATATTTCCAAATTATGAATGATTGCAGGAGCACAAAGTAAGTATCTGTGTAGATTTATATCTCACCAAAGAAACATTTCACTGCTTTCCGTTTGGATACAAGCGTCAGCGTAAAAGACAGTAGTAAAGCCAATGCGAGCACAAATCGTGTCAGCACAGCACTAAACATCTGCAGGAAACTGTGCAAAAACGCATGATCGCATCGGCTAGCCTGGTGCGTTCCAGCCTGGGTTTTTAATATGTCATAGTGGGAAGAGGGGGATGGTTATTCATTCTGCATCTGGGAATCCACTCATAACTGCAGATTAAACTGCCAACATTTCAGCTTCATAGCTTTTGTGTAGAAATATGCAAGCGTAAATGCAAACGCACACACACACACGCACACACACATACACACACACGCACACACACACACACATACACACACACACACACACACGCACGCATACATAAGACCTCTCGGTAATAGGTTCTTTTGCATTTTACCTATGATACAGGAAATGCATAAAAAAGAAACGATAATATGACTTAGCAAGAGCAAATTTTCTCCAGAATTGCTCATCCTGACCAGGTTAAAGATGATGCCTACCTGTTCATTGGACGGTGACAGTGATGAGCTTCGTGAGCGAGCATTTGTACTGGAGGGAGTACCACTGGAATGATCCAGCGAACCTCGGGACTGACTGAATCCTGCTGCTCTGGCTGTGACCGGCTGCTGTTGCTGCGGGCGCCGTTGAGACGAGCTTACTACGTTAGCAGTGGCGAAGAGCGCGCACGGTGGAACTGAGCTATCACCCACGTCTTCGGCAGCAGCGCCGCTTACATCCAGCGAATTCCTCCTCCGTACCTCCGAGAATTTCCGCTCTGCTCTGATCGGTGACGGCCATCCATTAGCAGCAACAGCACGGGCAGTGTTGGCGTCACTTTCAACACTGCTGTACCGCGTAACTGCTGCTGCTGAAGCGGCGTTCATCGCTACGTTCGGTGGTTTCGGAAGACGCCGACCGCTGGACGGCCGTCGCTCCAGCACTGCTGCCGAGCCGAGACCGAAGAAATCCAGCGGTGCAGCAGCTGGCGATGGTGGCGTCGGCAGAAATCGTGGCGAGGAGCAGCGCCGTGCCGATGGGCGCTGCTCCGGTGTTGGCGGTAGACGACGATGCCGACCGGTACTGCTCGGGGGTGGCGGTGAAACTGCGCCAGCTACGGTCGTGGTGGTGCTGTTGCTCCGGCGATAAGTGGATTCCAGGAAGCTTGCAGCGCCGGCGCCATTGCTCGAGCTGTTGTTGGTCGGTGGCGATGATGGCGCATCGGAAGACATTGCGGGAATGTTAGCAGTGGTGCTGGTCTACTCGCCGCTGCTCGCCCATCTCTGACTGCGACTGAAGTAGTAAAGTAAGAGCTCCACAAACGGCCAAAGCAATCGTTGCCGCTCCGGCCAGTAATCTCGGCCTGCTTCCTCGCATCTCCGACAAACCAGGCTCAGGCTCATAAAAATGCATTTTATCTTGTCTTACTTCCCTCTCTCTCGCCTCCTCTATTGATTCCCTGCTTCCCACCTCCTCGCTGTTTGCTGCCCCATCTTCGACCACTTATTACCTACTTAGCAAGGCTGCTGCACTGGTTTTCTTGTGTTGTTGCCTTTCTAGCCTTCGCGACATGAATTTCTAGGATT